TTGCGGCATGTGCAGTTGCAGCGGAGTTCGCAGGTTTGTCGCAGGAATTGCGACATGTGCAGCTGCAACGGAGTTCACAGGTTTGTCCTAGAGTTGCGACAGGCGAATTGTTCGCAGGTTTGTCGCAGAAGAAATTGTGACAGGTGGAGGTCAGCTGGTGTCCGCAAGCTGGTGTCCGCAGTATTTCAGTCGAATTTTTGTGCAAACAGGAAAGGTGCTTCGTGTGAAAAATTTGATTTACAAATCACTGAAAAATGCGGGAAATTGCTGCAAATTGACAGAGAAAATTTCAGGTTTATTTGAATTTATTTGTGGTGTGTGTTTTGTTTCATACAAGGCAGGTAAAATTCACTGCAGGATTAAATTTGATTAAATTCGAATGGATTAAATTTGAATGGTAATGTCTGGTGCAAAATTTGAGATAGTAAAGTTTGACGGAACAAGAAACATCAGATTGTGGCAAACAAATGTGAAGGATTTGTTGGCATAAGGAATTTTGAAGACATTACGAGCTATGAAACCTGATGGTATTATCTATAAACTATTGGGGAGTGCAGTTGTATGTGGAGTTAACTCTGTCGGATCATATGATGAAAATGCAGCAAGTATGTTGACCAAGCCAGGTATTTTCAACAAGTTCTTGAATTGCTTGAACTTGTTGAATGTTAGCAGTTGCTAGTTGGCATGGTTGCCCAACCCACTACGGTGTAAGAAACTTCATGATGTATTTTCTCCTAAGGGGCTGGATATTCGCCAAGGTGGAGAATTGTTAGGTATGACTCATAATACAAGTATTTGGAGTCTCTTGGAATGAAGAGATGTCTCTTAGAATTGAAGAGATGTGTCTCTTGGAATTCAGTGGGTTGAGATCAGCGAGGGCGCAACAGAAGCATGATGGCCTAACCCACATTGGTGCAGGTGTAACTCCCAGGTATCTTTTCTCCTAAGGGGCTGGATATTTACCAAGGTGGAGATTTGTTATGATATGACTCATATACCATATAGGGACAGCGCTGAAACGAAGCGGAGCGGAGCGGAGCGAAAGAATCTGTCCAAATTGGGAAGTTACGTTATATGGGTTAGGGCTATACGGTACATGGGTAATTTGGGAATTACATATTGTACTGCAGGCTTACTCTAGGATTATAAATAGACCTGTTTGTAATCCTAGGTCTTTGAGAGAGTTGAATTTTGTATTCTGTATTCTTTTCTGAATATTTAAAAGGAGGTCGTCGCTCTGCTCTCGAGGACGTAGGCATCTTTGCCGAACCTTGTTAAATCTCTGTGTTCTTCTGGATTTGTGTCGTCACTGTTTTTCCTCGCCCTAATTTTCCCAACACTTGAAATTTTTTAAAAGTATTCAATCTAATCATTCATGAATCCCTTTGAGGCATGTTATGTTGTTTAGAAAAATTTTTATATAATATTCGTGTATTGTATATCAGGATTAGGTGCATTAAGGAAGATTGTTACCAAGTGGTCGATCGCTCAATCCACAAGTGCATCGATCCAAGATAGGTTCTAGTTATTTTTTGGGCAAGCAATGTTCAGTTCGATGAAGACTACTTACATCCTCCAATTTTCGTTCAACTTCAACACAATTACCACGTTTGACACTTAAGTTAGATGTTAGGCTTCTGATATGTAGCCACCCACCGACAACTTTCACATTTCGTATCGAATTGGCTTGTTTAGCATGATAAATAAGGACCTTGTATTTTACTTAAATAGTCAGGCTAATGGATTAACAATCAAGCGATGGCATGCAATGCTGATCAAAATCACCGACATCTTGCATGCAAGCTAAGTAAAGGTGCCTCGATGGTCTTGGATGGTATTGATTTGCACCCTTTATCAAAATTCTCATTTATTAAGAAATATTTACTATGCTCATCTTCAATCACTATAATTTAATGAGTGCCATCACTAGTCTCAAGGCCCCCCTCTCATAGATTCCTGATCAGGAGCATATCCTCCTCGACACTTCCTGCCACTTAAAGACAAAGGGTGCGGGGATGCTCCTGGTTGAATGATGATCACCCTTCAATCACCCAACAAATTTGCCACTATGTGATACGTCAAGGCAACAAATTTGAAGTTTTTGAGGAGAAGGAGGTTGAATATGGAGTTATAAGTTAGTGACGAGTTATCCACCAAGAAATCCTCCATATTTGTGAATTGGTTATCATTTTCCCTAAGTAACTAGCATGAAAATAGGTCCAAAAGTTTCCTTCCTCTCATTAGATTGGTTGTATAGTGATTCTACTGATGTATTCAATTAGTTGTTTCTGAAACTCATCTTATCGAACACCGCTTTAAACATATTTTTCGTTGAGCTGTTGGTGTCATAAAAAGGCTAATGATCTAATAGTCATTTATTAGTGTCATGACAACAGTAACGTCATTGTGAGGATTCCACTTGGGAGGAAAATATGGATCAATGAAGGTATTGGAGGGATGTGAGCTATGCTTCGGAGCGATGGTGGCTACACATAGTACACCCGCCCGAAGCACCTTTAGATCAGCTCGGCATAATGAATCTTTTTCTCCTCTGAATATGACAAGAATGATGTCTGCTATTTAGATAGCTTGGGCTTAGACAAGCTCGTCCAAAATTTCCTCCACTGGAGCTTTTCCGTGTATATGGGTCATCACTTATAGAGATACAAACTCCTTTAGTTGTCCCACTTCAATCAACTATTCAACGAGGCTTGCAAGGTGTCGACATTCCTCTATGTTATAGTCATGGTCTCAACGATATTCACATGATTTTGTTAGTTCATGAAGGTAAGCTCTAGTTTTCACCAGGGGCACTCTATAAATACTTTTTATTTTAAATGACTTCCACTATCTCAACCATCGAGACTCTCAAAGGAGTCAATTTCAAAAGCTCGTGGTTGGACAACAGACCATAGTTGTAGTGAGACGACTGCTCGTCAATATATCAAACATGACTTCCTCGTTTGTAAGATTTTTTGGTTGTCCTGTGGTTTTGGGATGAACAATGATCTTCAAATTTTGAACAAACGAAAGAACATGTATCATCTCTCGATCTTCACTTGTCACCTTGGGGAGCCAACTTATGCGGCAGACGAGCGGAAGAAGTCGGAGTACAGTTTTACTCCCTGACTGATATATGTTTTATGGTCTTTTCCAAACACTAAGCAAATGTTTTTTTATTCTTGTAGACCAAAGCGCGCTGAAACAGTTCCTCTTTTTGCCCTTGATTTGCATGAGCCAGTATAAGTTTTAGATCAACACTTCCAACATCTCCTTATATAAGCAAGTAAGGAACTAGCAAAGGTTCTCATTATGCACTTGCTTAATATATATGAAGGTATATGAACTCTTCTGAGGCTTGCAGTCATTCATAAACTACACTACGAACATTTGCTCAAAGTCAGCAACTAACGCAATTACTCATAACAGAAATGCGTCGAACCACCTGAGTGACAACTAGCTCAATTTGGTGAAGAAAAGACGCGCTTTAGTGCAATGGTGGTCCTCAATGGACACACATTTGACTTGAAAAAAACTATGTGGTCGGTTGGATTGGTTCTGCCTTGTAGGATTCTAATGTTGAGACCTTGAACTTTCAAGGGACTTTTCCTTAAAGATTTACTGAAAGAACGCATTATATCGCTGACCAGACGCTTTAGTATGTCTGAACTAATGCATTTTGATTGGTGCTGACCAAGTACCGTGAAAGTACCGGGAATCTCCTTCTCTATTTAAAGCCAAGGGGGCTCTTCGATTGTTGGCCACTGACCCTTCTTCTCGGGTATGTTGCTCGATTCTTCGAGCCTGTCTATCTATTCGCTAGTTCGTGTAAGCTCCAATGTACTCTATGTTAATATTGTCTCTATCATGAGTTTCTTCTTCGTATGTTGCTCATATTTTTTTATATGATATGATCCATGCTTATTGTACCTTATAGGATATTTATTATTGATTAGTTTATGAACCACGCATCAAGAGTTAGAGCATAAGAAATGAGAGAGAGAGAAAGCGGGGGACAAAGAGAAGAGTGAACATTAATGAATAGTAATACATATTGTCTATTAGCCTCTCAGCATAAAAGATCTCTTGATTTTTAATGAAAATTGTACTATACGATGATATTAAATTTATGTTTATGCTTTATAAGGGTTGTACATGATATTCTAGGTATTTTACATGTATGAGCTTATTGCTCAGCTGCCAAATGACTCAGTCAGTTGAACTAATATGACTTTGGCTTAGTAGAACTGACCTAATCGGCTAGGCTTTGCATATTAGTTGATTTAGTCTAGTTATTGACCATCGATCATTGTATGAGGAGCTCACGTCGATAAATGAGATTAAACAATCAATCATAAAGTGAATCATCGAAACCTGATAAATAACTCATTCCCTGATAAGCTGGTCATTTGGGACGCTTATAATGCTCTATTTTATTGTCAATTCTTGGTCTCTAATGAAGAGTCTCAGGGGCGTCCGTGGGATGAATGGTAACAATGACAAACTATACTCTTTCCTTTGGTCAAATCTAACAGAAGGCAGGTATGCACCTTCGCTCGGCTTTCTTATAATAGTTAGCTTGAGTACTTATTTTTCTAGCCATCGTTCAATCGGTTCAAACTCATATCATTATTTTTATCATTCTTCCAGCTAAACTGGCCTTTATTGGCTCAGTCGACTACATCTAATTAGATAAGTAGATCTTTTGGTATCATTGTGGGCTCTTATTCATTGTAATCTCTTCATTATGGATCGTTCAACCTCATCAAGATCCGTGCTAACGCATTCTTGATGCACATGTTATAAATGAGTCAAGTTTGAGCAAGCTCAGACATGACTTGTTCGAAAATAATTATGTTAAAAAATTGACTAGTGTTTGAAATATCTAATGAACACTGAGTCATTGTTTAACTCAATTTATATATTATTGTTTGTGTTCAATTCAAAACTCATGTGTTTAAATCAATTAGAAAATAGATACAAGATGTTGGATTGGATCGTGCATCATTCTCATGCAAGAAAAAAACAAAAAATCGCATTACCACATAAGATACAGTGATTTTTAAAATATATATATATATATATATATATATATATATATATATATACAATATTATATAAATAATATATAAATAAAAGTAGTCCAACAAGATCAAATAAAGAGTGAATATATTGATTTGTTTATAATTGAGCATACAAAATTAATTTGTTTGACAGCCGTACTAAACAACCATTATTTTACGATAACTCTAATTATTTAAAGCTTTAATTATGTTTATGATAATTCTTAAAAATTTAACCAATCTTAACAACCATAAAACAAAATCACATAGATAACCTTTACGTGCGGAACCGTAGATTGAAGCAAAGCCGGTCTCCATCTTATCTTCTTCCGTCACCCGAACCTTCCAGATTCCAGAAATCAGCTCAAACAATCTTGAAACGCAAGAAAGCCTCAAATTTAAAAAAAAATAATAAAATAACAAAGAAAAGAAAGTTCCAGAACCCAAGCCTTTCTTATCTCTATTTAAACCCCTTCCCTAAGCCGCTCCGACGTTCATTTCAGGTGCTCGACGAAATGCCGATACGATTAGCAGGAAACATTACCCAGGACTGGGATCCGGTTGTGCTTTCCAAGCGAAAGCCCAAAGGCGCAGATCTCAAAGATCCCAAAGCGGTGAACAACGCGATCAGATCCGGTGCGGCAGTGGAGACTGTGAAGAAATTCGACGCCGGATCGAACAAGAAGGGTGCTTCGGCAGCATCACAGCCTGCAATAAACGCGCGGAAATTGGATGAGCTGACGGAGCCGTCGGCGCTTGATCGCGTGCCGGCAGATATCCGGCTTGCCATCCAGAAGGCACGGCTTGAGAAGAAGATGAGCCAAGCGGAGCTAGCGAAGCAAATCAACGAGCGCGCGCAGGTGGTGCAGGATTATGAGAGCGGTAAAGCTGTTCCGAAACCGGCTCTCCTTGCGAAGATGGAGCGTGTGCTTGGTGTTAAGTTAAGGGGTAAAGCCAAGTGAATCGATAGTGGTATGGGTTTTCGTAGGTGTCTTTGTTTCGTTTGTGCATATTTTCAGGTTTCCGTTGTCGATCTTTGTTGGAGAAGGTTAGGACGATGAACATGTTTTGGGCGTCAATGTGTATAGCTTTTGGCTTTGATGCACTTTAGGTTTCGTATTTACTTTTTGAAGTTTCTGGTGAATTGAATCGAAAGATTATAAAATTTTCGCCATTTTAAGAATGTCAATGGAGGAATTAGGGTTGATATGAACGGGGGAACTCTTTCGACTCGTGCAATGACGTTAATATATGTGTCGGCCTTTGTTTTGGTATATCGGTTATGAATAAATGAGACATAAGCAAATGGTGTCTTTGTTGCCATTGTAGACGTTGAGAACTTGAGATTGCCCACTGAGCATTTCAGGCCGTCACTACGGTTCTGCTGTTTGGGAAAATATGATTCTTGCTGCTTTTTTCAACTTTCTAAAACTATAGTTTCTATATCACAGATTTACATTTATGTACCCCAAATACGATTCTTGCTGCTTTTTTCAACTTTCTAAAACTAAGGCTACTTTTGAGGAAGCTTATTTGGTTAGTTGCTATTTTGAAAACGCACTTACATGTTTAGTTAAATTGCTTTTTGGTAGGTCATGCATTTTGAAAATGCTAAACACGAAGGGTCCGTTTGGGGCAGCTTATGCGTTTCAGAATAAACTGTTTATCCTAAAATGCGGCACGCGGGTCAGCCGCAGATGTCGATCCGCGATCTGTTTTTAGTGTAAAAACCCAAACATAGATAAGCTGGCGAAACGCGCGAAACGCGCGAAACGGATCTAAAATTCTTAAAGTAGTGTTTTCATATTGAAAGGTGCGGTGACAAATTTTCTGACAATTTTTTTTTAAAAATAAAAATTTTTATTCAATAAGATACAGAATATCACATAATTTACTGTTATATATTTTTAAAATTACAACCACCCTCGCTCGAGATGATTAGATTTATCGCCCAGTGTAATAATGAAAAATTATTGCATATGAATCATAAAAAAAAAAAATTTAATTAAAAAAACAAATTTGAATAGGGTCCACTTTTATACACTTTTGTTCCGTGCAATACTTTTCAATAGCATAATCTAGTAACCCCTTGTGAATGTGGCTCAAAATATGCTCGTAACTTTATTATATTAGATTTTGAGTAAGCTTAGGTTAGAAATAAAACTAGTTGGTAAAAAAAAAAAAAAAAAAAAAAAAGGTTCGTCCTGTTTGAATTGTCAATATATTGAGCTTAAAAAATTTATTTATGTTCGATTCATTTGTTTAGAGAGCAGAACACGAGTTATTCATGAATAATGAACCATTTTGACATGGAGACATGCAGCCATATTAAGAATATGGTTCAGATTTAAGTATGGATATTTATATGAAAATATTCATTTAATTAGAATTTAATATGATTTTGTATTATTTTTTAAATTAATAATTTTAATTAATTATAAATATTTGAATCTTTGTAATCAATTAAATTATTTAAAAATAATATATATTAATACATATTTTAATAAATTTTTATTGTTGTTCTACTTGTTTATACCGCTCTTTTGTTTAGCGAATAAATTAAATATGAGTTATTTAATGAGTCGAATACAAGTGCAATTATTTCATGAATATAAGACCCAAAATTTTTATATTTATTTATTTCATACTAAAATTTACGTAATTACAAATATAATATAAAAAATAACATTTATTAACATTTTTAATAATTAAATTCATCATTTTATAAAAATAAAATCTTGGATGTGAGAGATAAATTTATTAGAATTGGTTGCTATGTATGTAATTTTCCCTTGATTTTATTTAAATATTATTTATATAGTTTTTTTTTAAATAAGGATGCTTTGAGCAAATTCTATTATTTTAATCCTCATTGAAAAACATAAGCACTGTTCTAATATTTCTATAAACACCAGAATGTGCAATGGCCCATGTAAATAATTAGAAGACTATTTTAGCAATTTACTATTTATTTGTTTATTTTTAAATAACTTAAATTGCATTAATGATAATAATAATAATAATAATATTAACTTATTCTACTCAATTTTTTATCTTATTTTTTTATTATTTTGTAATAAAATAAAAAAAGGGGATAAAAATAAATAAATAAATAAAAAGGGGATAAAGATATTTATGGGCTTCTGATTTTATTTTAGGTTTTTTACCCCCAAAGGTCAATTGTTCTCATCTCCAACTACGGAAAAATGTGATTTTTAGCGACTTCATAGAAGTAGGGTTTGTGCGAATTCTTTGAATTCTTATTAATAAATAAAAATAAAACAACTTATATTGGGACTCAGGAGCCTTTAATATTTAATAGGGGCATTTACATACATATCACTCAATTCTTATGTATTTACATATCTAGCACTTAATAGACATTTAATTTTACATTAATATTATCTAAATCTTTTAAATCACATCAAAAATATCTCTATTTTAATATGTATATATGATGCATAAGTAAGATGACATATATATAAAAATTGGACAGTGGTATAAATGCAAGTCTTCCAAAAAATTGTATAAGAATTACAAATGTGGGTCATGGCTGCCTCACCAAAAACTAATTTTTCTATTGGTGATTAAATAGTCACTACTTATTCTGAAGAGCTCAAAAGGTTCTTTTAACGTAGTTTTTTCTTCAAATTTACAATCATAGAATAGAATGTCAAAATAACTCCAATTATTTACATGAGACCATATTAGCCTCATAATTTATAGAAATACTAAAATAGTCCCAACTATTATCAAGACTTATATGGTAAAGAGTGAAGAATCGATCGACTTTACCAGCAAGGAGATCCAAATGACCAACAACTACTTAACACTGACCACTCTTCACCTTCCCACAACCCCCTACTCCTACCCCCATCAAGCTCATCCTATGCTCACACAAACCCAAACAGGAAAAATAAAACCTTCCAAAATCTTTTCTCTTCTACTTTGCATCCAAGCCAACATTCCTATCACCTTTAAACAAGCCTTACAATAATCTAACTAGCACAAAGCTATGTCAGATGAGTTTCTTGCTCTCCAAGATCAAGGGACATGGGCCCTTGTTCCTCCTCACCCACATCAAAACTTGCTCAAATGAAAATGGATATTTCAAATTAAACACCATATTGTTGGCACCATAGCATGTTACAAGGCACACTTGGCAGCTCAAGGCTTTAGGCAACAATCGAACATTGACTTTTAGTAAACATTTAGTCCTGTTGGCAAGTTCTCTACTATTCGCATGCTCATTACTATTGCTACTATTGAAAACTGGGATATACAACAATTGGATGTTTCAATCGCGTTTTTAAATGGAAAACTTGATGATATTATATGTATGACTTAACTCCACGGGCTTCAAGATAACCAACACCCACATTATGTGTGCAGGCTTAATAAAGCTCTTTACGGTTTAAAACAAACAACACATCAGCGATATTCCATGTTTTGCAACTACTAATATACCTAAAAATTCAAATTGAGCACATCTGATAATTTCTTAATTACTCATTACCACAACTTAATTAAAATTTACATACTCATTTATGTCGATGACATACTTATAACAGGCAATTCAAACACTGAAAATTACAGCTTGATACAAAAAACTTGGCCTATAATTTAACTTAAAACAACTAGACCCTTTATTACCTTCTTTGGACCTACAAATAAACAAAACCTCCAAAGGGTACTTAATACACCAAAGCATCTATCGCTTTGAACTATTAAATAAAGCATGAATGATGCACTCAAAACAATTTTAACTCCTTTATCACCGTAATGTCATCTCCCAAAAGAGCCTTTAAGAGAGGTGTGTAACTCAAGACTTAAATACTGTTTTTCGGCCCTACACCTAGCCGATGTGGGACTAGTTGGCAAATATTTTTTAAAATATGACTCCTCTAGCGAATCAACAATGCTATTGACATCTTAAAGCTCTAGCAACCATAACTTCAGAAATTTTATGGCTACAAAGATTATTACATGAGTTTACCAATACTTCACCTCCATCAGTTCCACTCTACAACGACAGTACCACAGCAATAGCCCTCGCACATAATCCCGTCTTCCATACTAGAACTAAGCACAAACAAGTAGATCAACACTTTATTCAGGATCATAGAAAACACAACAATATCACTCCACCATATCTTGACTCAGGAGTAGCCAGAAAAATATTTTCACAGAGGCCCTAAAACCTAAGCAGGATATTGAGCTAACTCACAAGTTGACCATCACTACATTAGATGCTTAGCTTGACAGAGGTATTAAGACTTACCTGGTAAAGAGTGAAGAATCGATTGTCTTCATCAGCTCCTCTCCACTCATTCACTCTCGTCCTTTTTTGCTCGCATATCAACTGGTGTCTGCCTCTTCTTCTGCAATATGAATAAGGTTTTATCAATATAATGTTTTTATAGAGATGCACTTACCTGTGTAATGTCCTTACTACCCACTGGCTATTTAAAAGTATGTCACTTTGTTGTCTATATATATGTACCTGCGATAAACATAGAAGTTCTAATAAAAAACTTCCTTAGTTTACATCTATTATCTTATTTCTTATAAGTAGCACTTGATGAGGGTGGGACCTCTTCGCAAAGAGGAATCATTTTAAAATTGAGCTCTAATGGTCATTCATAGTTGTTATTCCAACCCCAAAGCCAAAAAGCTGTTGGAATATTTTGATACTTCTATAAATTTTGTAACTTAAAAAAAATCACAAATAGATAATCTTAATAATTATGTGATAATGCTCAACAATAATTATGCTAATTAATTTGATCAATAAATTTTTTAAAATGTACACCGCATCATATAGATTTTTGTATATTTATATATCTAAATTTTATTATTATTATATATGTTATTTGGATATAAAATTTTTATTAAAATATATGCATTGATAGAATATATTCATTTTAAATAAGTTAAATTAGCAATAATTTTAATGTGATTTAAACTTTAAGGTTCTATATTCACAAGAGTACTATAGCATGCATATTAATACCCTTAAAATACCTCTTTTAAGGTATATATATTAATATTTTATTTTTATGGGTTTATAGGTAATTAAAGCTTTAGAAAATGGTTGTGTAAGATTATTATTTAAATTTAGTTTTTTAAAATAATATAAAAAATTATTATTATTTGAGAAATAATATTTAATATCAAGCAACCTAACTCAACCTACTCAAATTGTGCTGCAAATTGTCACGCGAACCGACCAATATTAAACAAAGTTAATGTTTGATGCTTTTTTTCAAAAAAAGGTTATTAAATGTGTCGGACGTTGACTTTAGAAAAAAGTCAGATTTTCATCTCGTTAATCAATCAGACAAGTTGTTAAAGATGGAATCATTATTAAATTTGTCCTTTTTACGATTTATTTTCCAATAATGTCTAACTTTTTTTTTTCTTGGTCCATATGCAGCAATTATAAACCAAACACCTAAATTTCATTTATTTATGAAATTAACCTTTTAATTCGAGTTGGGATCAAGTTTATTCGATCGTAAGTATTCGTTTTTATCAGAGGATTTGCAAAGTCATATAATCATTTAAAGAACTCAACTACTACCCTTGAAAATTTGCATGAAAACTACGGGTTCTCATCATAAGAGCCGTCGAATGTATGTACTCTCTCTTAATTTGAAACTCACTCAATAATCGACTGTAAGCCATAGTTGCTCGTGCAAAGATTACTCCTAATTCATATCAATTTACTTTTAAAGAATATATGAACTATGTAGCCAATTTTATAAAGAGGCCTTTAATTATCATCCATACAAAAGGAATCATTAATCTAATCTCATACTTACTACCAAATCTATCATATTGAAGTCTCTCAACTCTCCCAAAATTATCATTACATAGCTTTATTTTACGCAGCGCTGCATACGTCGAAGGTTCTTTAGAATATTGAGAGGTTATGTCTGCGTTATACCCCATGTAACCTCCCTGTAACCAAGATAACTTACAAATAAGTTTCACGCTTCTGTTTTCATATATCTATAGATTTTGTAGGTTACAGATAGGTTACGGATATCTTACAAGGGTATAATGCAGATATAACCCCCCAATACCCTCTGAATAACCTCCCAGACATACGTAGCGTTGTGTATGTCTTACGTACGTAAATTTTTCTCAAAGAGAGAGATCACTAACATAGAAATATTTCTTAATTATACTTTCATCTTCTTGCTTCGCTCAAAGTGATATCCAACACAAAAAGAGAGATTATGTGCAGATGGGTCTGCTCGGAGTGTAGTTACAGTGTACTCCGGATATACGGATGCTATTAATCTGCACATACTTATCACTGCACGTAATAATCTCTCTTAAAATAGAGTCCGAAAAAAAAAAAAAAAGGAAAAAAAAGACAAAAAAGAGAGGGAACAAATCACAAAAGATATCATCCACCCATCCTCCTCAACAGTTCCGGCGGCGCCGCGAATCGGGCGGAGAAAGATCGCGATAAGTTCTCCGGCTCCGTGGCCGCCGCCCCTTCATCGAAGTTCTGTGCATATGTCTCTAAATCATAAGAAACCTTAGAGGCCGCCGTCGGAGAAGAAGAATCGAAGACTCTTCTCTTCTTCCTCATCACCTTCCGCCATAGTTTTTTCAACTGTAATAGCCTTCCCAGCGTTGAGGAGCGCTTCGAGGGATACAATTCGGCATAGTCCCCGGCTCCGCCGCAGTTAATGGTTCTCCGGCGATCGGCGGCGAGCCAGAGGCCGGCGATGGAAGAGAGGGATCTCTGTTTTTGGAGATTGGTGATGTGATCCATTTGTGGAGGAGATGTGGGAGAAGAAGAAGAGGGAAAGGGGGAAATGGAGATGGGGGAGGGAAGATGATTAAACGGCGTATATAAGCATGTGGAAGGGTGCTATTAATCAATTGCGATAGAGATTACTGCTTTCTTTTTCAGTTTTTACAACGGTCAAAATTCTATATTTAACACGGATAAAGATATTGTTGACATTTTTGGTTCATCTCACCAATTTGCATTATCCGACTGATTTTTTTTGAAATGAGAAATTTAATAATTTCATAGCTAAAATTTATCATTTTACGCACATATATTGTATGTTATGTGATGCTTGCTAGAAATTTTGCGGTATAGAGCAACAAATTATCGTCTTAACATGGTAAGAAGATTCATCACACATTAAGAAAAGACAATGCAACTATAAGTTTGACGAGCCGATTAGTTTGATTATAAGTTTACTGAAATCATAATTATGGATGACTTTCTGTTGACGTTTGCGTATTTCTTACAAAAAAAATTGCCACGAGATCCGTGCAATATCATAAGATTCATGTCTGATAATAAAATGTTATTGACGGCGCATCACTGTGTATAATAAAATTTTTACATTAAAATTATTGTTTAATCCTATAATTTTTTTTTTTAGGCTTATAACCTACATTAAATAAAAATGATACCAAATACAATAAATGTAAAAAAATTCAACCACTTTGTTATATGAGTAAATATGTTACGAGAATAAATTTGTTCTACATAACTAACACCTAAGTATTGCATTCTTAGTGTAATACCACTCAAATCTTTCATATCTAACGCCTACATGTTGCTTTCTTATTTATATCATTGAAATCTTTCACATCACATCTAAAATATAACTATTTTAACTTTAAAAAAAAATTATAGGTTGTCATGCATAGGTGAGATGACATCAATGTAAAAATCGAAGTTTGGACATTGCATTATGTAAATATATAAAAAATAGGTGATATGTATGTAAATCTTCTTTCCCAAAATTACTTTTTCATAATAATTGTGCCTTGTAAGGTAGTTGTTAGGGTACATTTACTATATCAACTCATTTCTAATTATATTTATAATTGTTAAATATTATTAACATTTAAACATGAGTCAAACTTATACTGCTTACATGTTGCCAACTCTTCCATCTTATCAACGCATGTCTCACTTTCACACGTGCCCCACACAACCACTCCAAATCAACTCATAATGTCACTCATATTACATTTCATGAGACCTAAAAATTCTAAAATGTAAAATAAAATATATCCGCTTTAAAACTGAAAATAAATATTAATTCTTATGTAAAATAAAGAAAAAAAAGATGCGAAAATTTACATGCATACCACAAATTTCTTATGTATTTACATATCTAACACCCAAAATATAACATTTACGCATACACATTGTTGGCATTAACTCATGCATATAAATTTATACGTTATTTTCATGAAAATTTATACTTTACTTTTAAGAAAATAATAATGGTATCATTTTAGTGTGCTGCATGTAGATATGAATGCTTACATATTAGATATGTAAATACATAAGAATTGCGTGGCAAGTATGTGAATCACCACAAAAAGACAAAATTGATAAAGTTACACAAATCTCAAAGCAAATTGAGCGCACGCATTTGAACAATCAAAATAGTTAAAATCAACAAGAAGAAAGAGAGGAGAAAAACTGCATCCAATCAATCCGAATTCAAATAATGCACAAAGATTTCTTTCATTTAGAGGGTTGATGTATGCAATCTTACTCATTATATATCTTCGGCTTAAAACATATATTCTTCGACGAAAATCGTCTGTTTCGATCGAGAATCAACGATCAATCCAAATCGACAACTCCAAAATTAGAGAGCAAGATTTTGAGTTGCTGAACAAGATCTGATCCTGTGGCATACTCAGTTAGAAGCCCAACAGCAAAGCCAAACATTGCCCATCTGCAGAACATTAATCATAATGCACAGAAAGTTCCTGAACCCATTACAGATATTCACTGAAAGCTAATAAAGAGAAAAACGTCAAAATAGCCCTTTTGATTTTTTTCAGTATGTCATCTTAGCCCCACGATATATAAAAATGTCAATTAGTCCCCAGACTCTTTCAATACGGGCTGAAAATGTAAACACACTTTTATAAACTCGGGCAAAAATGTAAATAGTCAAGTCACTATTTTGACACATTGATCAGGTAATAATAAACTAAATGCGTTTTATTGCAAGAAAACCATAGGAGTTAAATATTAGATGATATTTTCAGGTGGGTGGAGATCTAAAACAAAAATATTGCAGAAATCACAATAATATGAAGGGAAAATTACATATGCACCTCACAATTCTTATGTATTTACATATCTCACAACTAGACTTTCATATATATGCATACACAGCACTCTTGGTATTTTAAAGCAATGCATGAAAAAAGTGTATTTTACTTTTAAAAAGTGATAGTAGTGTGCTATTTTTGATGTGATATTAAAGAATTGAGTGTTAAGAGTGTAAACATATGGAAGTTTAGGTGCGAGATACGTAAATACATAAGAATTGCGTGCTATGTATGTAAAATTCCCTATTTTGTATCAAACAGCTGGTGAAAGTCTAACAGAGAATATGTTGAAGTTTAATAAAGGCCTCCAATGAAGTGAATGATGGGGATAAGTACTTGGCCAAAGCAGCCTTAAGTTTGGGTCTAGGGAACAAAAGTTTTAAATTCTTGAGGCATTTACTGACACATACCACATAATTCTTATGAATTTACAAATGTAACACCCACACTTTGATTTTTACATATCTAACACTCAAAATTTTCACCTGACATATGCAATACCACTATTACTAACTATTTAAAACTGAAATACACATTTTCATGGATGGGTAAAGTCTTATTAATGTAAATATCAAATTTTGTGTTAGATATGTAAATACATAGTAATAGTGTGGCATGTATGTGAATCTTCTTAAATTATTTTTTGCAAAAAATTCTCCTAATGTCATTGGAAGTTCAACAATGTAGACAAGTTTGTGTAAGAATCCAAATTTTTTGCAAAAAAATCTTCGAATTTTGCGAAAAGAAAGCACGAAGATAACAACATCCATAGCAGCAGTTTTCTTTTCATCTAGAAAAGAAAGAGAATCAATCTCTTGCGACGCTAGAGCAACAAAAAAGTTGCAGGAGAAAAAAAGTTGCAGGAGAAGACCAGATGAAATTTTATATTTATCATAACGCCATCGCCCCAAAACTGAAAATTGCATTGTGTACATGACTGCTTGAAAATTTGATAAAAAGGGGACAAATAAAAGAGTTTCTCGATGGCCGTTGAGAGAGAGAGGAGATTTCATTTTAAAAGATTTGGTAATTATAGAGATTATATGAGATGATAATGACACGAAAAAAGTTAGACAAGCTGAAGTTATGAATCATCGAAAACCATTGACATGTAACAGCTTTAACAGACTCCTAAATTCTATTTGCAGGGTGAAAAATTAAATTTATCGTATCCCGATTTCATGTTAAATCATTGAAGAAATTTAATCAGAAGCATACATGAATCTTTTGAAATGCGAATACCCATGTCTAAAGCAGAGTTTCGAGAAAGAGAGCATTGTATTCACACAAGATGAGATGTGAGTAAATTAAAAACTAACACTTTAGACTAGAAACCGTAACCCTATTTATATTTGAGCGTGTTATTTTATTTTAACATATCATAAAATAAATTATGGACATAGTCTCTGCATAAAATAAAGTCCATACAAACAATAACATGCCTCAAAAGCCAAATAATTGATCTTTATTTGATCAAAATTTTATAGGCTTAAAATCAAGATAGCATATAATGTATAGTTAATTATATGAGCATATACCTAAAAATTCTCCACTCGTCTCTCTCTCTCTCTCTCTCTCTCTCTCTCTCTCTCTCTCTCTCTCTCTCTCTCTCTCTCTCAGACTATTATACAAGCCTCCTACCACCCCTAACGTGCCTAACAATTTGAGTACCACCTCTTTAAGGTTAACAGTGTCAGAGGGAATTCAAACCACTGACCTGAGGGGTCTTATACCGTGGATGTCAACCGGCAGGCCGGGGTAAGCGACAAAATATATATATATATATATATATATATAATTTAGTTTTCTAAGGAATCGTTAAAAATTCCTTGAGCAAATATCACCATCACAAGCCATCAATTGAATATTAATGCAAGTAACCCTACCATCAAGTAGAAATGAATTCATAAAAGAGATAAAATCTATAATTAAAGAAGGAGAAAGTGTGTAGTCTTCATTATCGAGACAGGAGTTTAATGTAGTCATATCCAACATCCTACTAATAAATGGAGAAAGTAGTCTTCAAGAAGTCAATGACCCTTGCCCTGAAGATTCATACCCATAATCAAATGTTGACATAACTTCTATCTAAGCTATGACTTTTTTAGTTGGTGTGGATCTCAAACATCAATAGTAAAATTCAGTTTCCACTGAAAAAGCTAATCCTATAAGTGAGCAAACTATTAGGATCTTTACACTAAAATATTTTTTTAGCTAATTGATGCGAGATTAAACTCACTATGTTTACATGTTTTAACACTTTCAACCAACAGCACTAATTCTTTTTAATCATTCAACGTCAATTTCATGTACTTTTCTTATTAATATGTCTTCTTCAATCCACTGCATATACCCAAAGCAACAAAAAATATGGAGGCTTTACATATATTTCACACAATTCTTATGTATTTACATATCTAACATCACAATTTTCATGTTTATAAACTTAGCACTCAAATCTTTACTCTTCAAAAAAAAAAAAAAAAAACCACAATTAATAACGTTTTTTAAAAGCTGAATGACATCTTTTCATGTAAGGCTATGAAACCAAAATGTTATAAAAGTAAATATTAAACTTTAGATGTTAGATATCTAAATACATAAAAATGTGCGTGGAATGTATCTAAATTTCCCAAAAATATATTTTCAATAACTTATTATCAAGTGCAATATGCATGTGTTAAACCATCATGTATTTGCATATCAATTACCTACTTGTATATCCTTCATTAATCTATGTCCTTGATAATTTTGATGCACATAATTCTAGTCCTAGAATATTAAAACTTAGTTAAAAAAAAACATCCAACTCTACCAGTTTCTAAGCCAAAACTGTCATCCCAGCTTGTGCAAAATGATCTGCAACATGAACTTTGCAAATTGATCTGTAGCTTGACTCGTGCAACTTGATCCACCTCCTCAACATATCCAAAATAACCCATCACTAGAGCCTACTAATAATAATTCAATCACCGCTCCCAAATGTTTCTCCAGAATCTCTCACCCTACGAATTGGCATGGCAACCACACTCCTGTGCCTTCAAATATAGCCAAAAATATTTTTCACTATTCCTATGCAGAATCCCTCTTGCAGGACTCCCAAGAGGGATTGCTCTTCCTCTAGTTTATGTCGATAATATATATTCAACTTCAATTAGTCATCTATATGCCATATTCCATATTTACTTCTCAAATTTGAAACTTCATACTAATGTCTCTAGTACATTCTTGAACAAACATAATTATACAAAAAACTAATTTTTTTTTTTTTTTGCGAACGGTCCTTTAAAAGTATATTCAAAGTATTAGACTGACAAAAACGACTTCCTTCCTCTTCTCACAACTTTGAGACTGGCACATAACTTGAAAATTTTGACAAATACTCAACAAGATATTTTATTTATCATTCAACAAATAATAAATCTAAACAAAATCCTCGACACCAACATTTTGATGTCATTCATCGAAGCATTGAATATCATGTAAGGATACCTAGTTGTGAGTTATGCTTTCTATTTGGTTCTCTTCATCTTGTGTGATATAGAGATGTGAATTAGTTTGCGTGTCCTGATAGCCAACACTCAATCACAAGCTGGTATATGTTTATTGACAACTCATTGATATCATGAAAACGTAATAAATAACAATGCATGTCCAATTCATCTACCAAGCATGAATGCCGCACAATGTCTACAACATATTTAAAGATTTATTCGACTTTGTTGACAATTTATTTGAATTTGGCTTTTCTCATAATAATCCCATTATCTAGATGCAGACGGTATTGGTGCCATCAAATTTATCATAAATGAACAAAACATATTGAATTTGAGTGTCATTCAATTCGGGAAGATTTCAATACTCATTTGATTTTCTTCCCTATATTCCTGCAAACAATCATATTGTAGACATACCGATAAAAGTAAAAAAATTTGATAACTATCATGTTGTAGACCTCAGCTTTTTGTGGGTAAATTAATGTTTTTTGATAAACCAAACTAATTTGAGCGAAGATATCAACACGATTTGCATGCATTAAATTACACATTTTTTATATCAATTATTCCTATAAATTATGACTATAAATAAGTATAATTAGTTAGAATAATTGGAAATATTCATAAATTAGGAGTACATTTTTTTTTTTGAATTTATAATGATAAATCTGATTGAGCAAATCACTTATTGAATGCCTTGTATGTTATATTTTTTTCTTCTATACCAACTTTGTAGAGGACAACAAAAAATTTGAAAATCTTGTTAGTCACTAATATCCAATATGCAATACTCACATTATATATATATATATATTATCGAGGGCCGCGGGTGCGAATCCCTTTTAACACAAATTACGACGTTCACTCTCCCAACCTGAGGAGACGATAAGCCAGTGCCCAACCCAAGTGCAATGGAAGTCAGAGGCTCAGATGAGAGTCCTTAATAATCAATGCTACACCCCGCCAAGTAAGTGTGTGTGTGTGTGTGTGTGTGTGTGTATCAAAATACACACGCGACTTTAGCCATCTCTACTCCACTTCACTCACCGATATAGCCAAACACTTGAGGGGTTGTTTGGTTGAGTGAATTAGTGGTGTGTTGTAAATCATTTGCAAGGATTTGAGAAAATTTTGTATTTGATATGAACATTTATAAATACAATCTGAAGTTTTAATAATTTTGAAGTTTACACCATAGTTCATTTTAGATGAATTTATAATTTGGTTGATTTGACTGAATTTGAATTAGATCATATAGCCAAATCGCCGCATCAACCGCCGCATCAGCCGTCGCTTGCCGCCCATTGCCCTTCGCCTGTTGTTCGCCGCAGCCTACCGCCCCTCACTGCTGCCAGCCACTTGCCACCAGCCATTGCCTACGCCCGCCATTGCTCACCGCCCGCCAAAAGCCCTCGCCCGCCGCCGCCAACCCACTACCTTTTGCCTATGTAAATACCTAGTTTTCGATTTACTTCAAACCAATCAAAAAAATATAAAATCTTAAGTTTATTTTACAGTGAACTAAATAACTCGAAAGTATTTCAAATACATTATAATCATAGTATTTTCTAAATCTTTTACATTGCATTTCATTTTTAGCAAACCAAACGGCTCCTAAGCATCTTTGAATGGTGCCATTGGCTTCGTTGGAGGAGCAAGTGATAGGGATGGAGGGAGAAAAAATTAGTACTAATATAAAGAAAAGAGACAAAAGTAGCCGATTGTTTTTTTAGAGGCCCTTCATCTTTGGAGCACTAGACAGAGAAGGGGAAATTTTAATTTTGATGGAAGGAATGGTAGAAATTATTAGCATTTTGATGCTCTAATTTTTTCCAAAACTTTAGGATTTTTTATGGTTTTTTTTAAGAAAGTAAGAAAGTTTCTTAAGAGATGAGAAATGAATATTGATCAATAAGGGGTGAACAAGAGATGGGCAAGTTTTGCATAGAGTTAAAAAACAATGGTTTCAATTTAGACATTGTTGTTCCTTTGGTTGAGCAACATATTTTAATTTTTGGAAAATAATGCTTTTTAAAAACTTAACCCCAAAATTAATTTTTACCCACCCACAATAAGTGTTTGATTGAAAATGGGATTAAATTGTGTGCATACTTGAAGCCACTAAACCTCAAGAATAGGGGTTGTTTGGGTGCAGATTAGCACGCTACCCAAACATATATTTAGTAAGAAATATTTTTTATCACAAGATTCTAAGAAAATTTTGATGAAAATGCAATGCAATTGTACGAAAAATGCAAGACGCTTTCATAGATTATAACTTTTTTTTTTTCAGAGAAAACAGCTATGAAAACAGTATTTGAAAAACAAAAGGCTTTGGCTAAAGAAAAGTAAATGTTTGTCCATTTTATCTTTACTGTATGCCCTTGCCATAATTGTAATTCATACACCTAACTTCCTTTTCCTATGAAGCACGACAAAAAAACTTCTCCTTTTTTCATCATCCTTAGCCTTATCTCAAATGATTACAAAGGTTTTTTGCATGGGAACAAGCTATCCAAACAAATATTAAGTATGGAAAGAATTGTTAATGATGTTTAGTGCAAATCTATGATAAGGTTATAAGACAATTTTGTAGAATTTGCCCAAAAAATAATACTAAATCATAAAATGTTTTTCTCTTCTATAAGAAAACAATAAAGCATTTTTTTTTTTGCAGCAACAAAAAAAAAAAGAAAAAAAAAATTATTGTCATGAGCAATACAAAGAGTGTCTTGCATTTTTGCTACAATGTCTTGCATCCACACCATCCTTCTCCAATTAAGCACCACAAACAACAAAACTAGCTTCAACATCTCTATCATCATCAATAGCCTTATTCTAACCATTTTGGATAAGCTTTATGAATCCTTAGACTCCCTTCATTCAAATCATTTTGCTCAAAGTGTAAATTAATTTTACACAACTTCTATCAAAGAAATCATTTTGTAAGTATGGATAAAAGAGGTAGCAAAATTGGTTTATCATATCAAAGGTCAAATCCAATTTCATTTCAAAAGCTTATGACTACAATTGTGAGTCAATTACTACTATTTGCACATTAACAAATATTTTAACCAACAAACATGGGACTAAACTCAATTTTTTTTCACTCATTTCAGCACTTTCGATCTAATATTCCTCGTTTCTCTTAAAACTCGTCATTAAATTCATGTACTCTTCTTATTAATTCATCTTCTCCACACCATTGTATATGCCAAACCACCAAGTAGGTATTTTCACCACATTATATCCAATATAAGCTACTCAAATATTCTCTCATATAAAAATTTCTAAATTAGCAATTTATAGTTTTGCCATTCCTCTATCTCTATCAAATATTCTTAAACCTTAAAGCCTGAAAAAATGATGAACATAGCTGAATTTAATAGCAGATAAGCCAAAGAGTGTTCAGGATTCCGTGAATCTATACTTGAACTAAGCCCTACAATTACGCAACAGCCCATAAAAATTACCCTTAAACCTTCACAATTTCCACATCCAAACTCACAGCAGAACTAAAAATAATAATAAATAAATAAGGTTTACGAAATTACCTCCCATTTGTGATCTCGTTCTTCCCCAAGAATCCAAAGAAGGGACCTTGGTCAGCCTCTTCTAATTTCTTCTGCCGAAAGTACTCCTGCAGCTCCTTAGCCATCTTCCTCTGAAACTCCAGCGTCACAACCCCCTTCACCTCCGCCACCTGCTTCGCTGGAGGAGAGTGTGATAGGGATGGAGGAGGAGAGAGTGAGGGAGCACTAGAAACAGGAGGAGGAGAGAGTGAAGGAGCCGCCGGTCTTCTCAAAGGACCTTCTGCGTTGGAACTCCGAACTGTAAAATTGGGCTTCGGGGAACAAAATTTTGGTGAAGGAGGGGGGGAGATTTTGATTTTGATGCAAGGAATTGTGGAAGCTATAGACATTTTTGCGCTCTGATTTCTCCCCAAAATTATATTTTTTTGGCCCTCCTTCCAAAAGAAAAACTACGAATGCTTCTCCAGAAAAAAAAAGGAATGAATTTTGATCGAGAAGGAGTGGATATCATATAGCCAAGTTTTGCAGGGAGTTCTTCATATATTGGCTTCTGTTATATATATATATATAGAAAGATTTACATGTGTGCTTAATTCCTACGAATTAATATGTGCAATACCTAAATTTATCTTTTTACATAATTGAAGTTTTACTTATGCTAATTTTCAGCATCATAATAGTCCTTGTAAATTTATATGAGATGATTTCAATCCCAAAATTCATATAAATGTCAAAATAGTCTTAAATTATTTTAAAATAAGGGCTGAAAATTGAAATAGTCCAACAAATTTAACTTTTATATAAATTAGAACTAAAATAAACTCATATACTATTTTGGCATTTATGAATTTTTTTACATGATATAAAAAATTTGGACATTAGGAATATAAAAATCATAGTTAAGATGTTAATTATGTAAATACAATATAATTGGGCGAAATGCAAAATCTGGCAGCTTATATACATATCATGTAATTCTTAGGGTTTAGGGTTTTTTTATCCATAACACATAAATTTTTAATATCAATATTATTCAAATTTAAGAATAAAATAAAACTTTTCATGTATAATTTTATAAGATGAATATATTATAAATATAAATATTTGAATATTTAAATTTTAAATACATACATAGATAAGAACCATGTTATATATTAAAATTTCTCAAAAAAATAAGAAAATTACTTAAATCCAGTGATTTATAATCCCAAAATTGAAATGAAGTATTAATTTTTTTTTGTGGATTTCTTGGAATAATTCAGATTTCAGAACAAAATAACTAGAGAGGATTTGAGGCCATCAAAGCTGAATAAGAAAAATCAAGAATTTCGGGCAAAAATATATATATAATTAACTATGGTTAAGAATAAGTTATTCAATAAATAATATAATTAATCAAACGATTATTTTGCATGGATCAACATTTATAATAACATTACACTCGATTTCATTAATCAACCTATACAAGGTGGCATTTACAGACAAATCACCCATTTTCTATGTATTTACATATCTGACGCCTATAAAGTTTAGGTGTTGGATATGTAAATACATAGGAATTGTGTTGTATGCATGTAAATCTTCCTTTATTTTTTTCATACAAGCATACTTTATAAGAGAAAAAAGGACATAAATTAAATAAAAATGAAACTGCAAATCCTGCAGGAAGTGTGATTGCAGAAAACTACACGGCAACATAAAGCTCACCAATGATGAGCAAAATGATATAAGACAAATCTACATACCTGAACAATGCAGCACACATTTTAAAGCAAAAAATACAATAATACCACTACACAAAAAAAAAAATGCAGGTATGGATAGAAAGCTTAGACCAAAAATTTTGATTTTTTTTTTTTTTCTCAAAGCAGGTTCTGAATGTTTGAAGAACATGAAAAGTGCTTCTGCTGTTACTATAGCCGCAGCTGAGGAGAACAGAGACCTGAATGAAAGAGCAGTGCAGAAGTTTAGATGGAGAATCCATGTTTGGATTTTGGTTTATGGACTGATGATGGCTCTAAAGAATCCGATGTCTATTGAATGACACAAAAGCACTTTTTATGCCTTCTGTTCTCATATTCGCAATCCGAAGCATCATCGCCGCTGTCATATCAAATGAAATGAAATGAGATTGTGAGTACAATGAGCATATAGAATAATTGTAACATTAATATATAGAGGCATAGACATACATACCACTAAATTCTTATGTATTTACATATCTAAAACCCAAAGTTTGATATCTACCCTTGTAATACCTTGTAAATATTTGAGTGGTATGCATGTAAATTTCAATGCTTAGGTGTACGTGTATATACATAGGAATTGTCTGATATGCATGTAAATGCCCCTAATATATATGTGAAAAAGTTCACCTTTTCTAAGGGCATAATCGAGTCATCGTGTAACCTATAAAGAATTTACACTTAGGATACATACTTGATCCTATTGGAGTCAGACCGACATCGGCAGCGCATGAATAAAAAATGTTATTTTAAATTGGTTGGAAGTGAAAATAATCAATTTTATTGCTCTAATTAACATCTAATTCTTCAAAGGGGAAAGGTTTAATCAAAACTTAAGTTAAATCATGGTAACTACTATTGTGAGCCACATAAATCCTACTAGCTTCTTAAATCATAATTCCTCCCATTTTTAGGCTAGAACTCGGTTTTGGTAAATCCCAGCGGAAGTAGGATTTAAGAGTTCTACATCACATATATTCAAAATGCCTCTTCTTCTCCTTCAAATAAACCTTAAATCTTGAAAATCTCTATCAAATAATTTACTGAGGGCCTGTTAGGAATTCATTTTGTCTTTTATTGTTTTATATATTTTTTAAAATTTTGTTGTTAAAAGAGTTTGTTTGATGTATTTTGCACATGTTTTTTTTCAGGGAAATTTACATTTACATTTCGCAAACCTAAACTTTCATATTTACATTCACAGTAATTTGGTGCTTTAAACCTTTGCATGAAAAAGTGTACTTAGCTTTTACATGTTACACATATAGCACTATTACCGCTTTTTAAAAGCTAAATACCACCTTTTTCTCTTTTAGGAAAAGGTTTATATAGCTTTTAAAAAGTGTTAATGGTGCTATATGTGTAACATGAAAGTTTAGATGAAAGATATAAACACATAGGAATTGTGTGCTATATATGTAAATGCTCCTTCTTTTAAACAAAATAACTTGCTTTATAAAAATTTAAAATATGTTTGGCTGTTTCTAAAACAAGTTGATTTATTTTCAACATAACAAACATGTTTTATTTCAAAAGAAAATACTAACAAAACAAAACCAAAAGAATAAAACAGAAAAGCAAAAAACAAAACTGATCCCAAACGGCCCCGAAAACCATAATTAACATCTTATCATGTCAAACAGTTCTCAAAATTCATCGCCTCCACGATTTACTAATTTGGATTTACAATAAAATCCAGCTCCAATGGTTCATATAATGGTTACCTTCAATAAAGAAACTAAAAGAGAAGTATCAAAGCTGTATGCTGTGTTATGTACTAAAACAACAAACAAGAAACACAATCCCAATAACTAAAAAAACAGAGTGTCTATGGAACCTATAAACAAGGTAGATATGCCACTCAAAAAAGGAACAGAAATCAACAATTCCAATAAAAAAAATATGAAAATTCTCAAAGCATAAGGATATCAAGCACTACTATGACTTGTAGAATCATTGGAACAACCTTAATTTAATTATAATCTTGTTAATTTTTTATTAAAATATCACGCCAAGGATAAGTGGTACCTGCATTCAAACTCTCTTATCTGAAAAAGCTCTCTTCCACTCGCATCTGTCCATTGAACCTTTCGCCCGACCATAATACCTGATCTGGACTCTCCTTCAGTTGATTCTTTCACAATCCTACCTACTACAGAATCATTATCTGAAGGCCTTTTCAGAGAGCTCTTGAGACAAGATTTTCTCTCATTGTAACTAACATTTTCATTACTAGAACTATAGACATTTTCATCAGAAGCTAAAGAAGATTTTGAATTTTCCGGCTGCCGAACTGGACCGACTTTCAGAGGAGATGAATTATCGGATTCGGAGGAGGCACAACCAAAACGGATAAAGGAAGCGCATCGGTAAGGCACTCTACTTTTTCTTGAAGCCAGCTGAAAATCTTCGACGCCTTCCTGTTTGACCGGCTTATACTGACTCAAAGCTGTTATTTTTATAGGTTTTTCTTCATTTCTTTGGCTGAGGAGCAGAAGGGCAAGACCCTTGCTATAACCTTTCGCTGATGAAGAGAAAAAGCCTCCGCCTTCGACGGCAAATAGCATCGCCTCTGCTCTTCCGTGCTGAGTAAGAAAGCAGCTACATTGATTTGATGGATTAGAATAAGCCTTTTGTGTTCTTCAATCTTGGTTCCTTGACTGTAACAGAATGAGCATGATATCGAAAAGAGAGCAGAAAATATATTTATTTTTCTAATCATCATAAACCATAAATCATACAATATTGATATAACATGCACCAGGATGTAAATGGTTGGATGCAAGAATAGAAAACCAAAGTTTGAAATTTTGAAATGAATCATGCTTTAGCAAATGATTGTAATATTTAGCAAATGATTGTAATACAATACAAGAATTGTTTGATTTTTAATATATATGAACCAATCTCAATCCAACAAACTTAAAATCCATCCTAAACAAATTTTGATAGGCCCAAATTTTCTCCAATGCCTATGTCATGTCTGGCGGAAAATAAAAGCTTAAATTTTAACTAATTTACATGTCATAAAATACTTCTTTTACATAGGGCACAATAAATCTTTTAGTTGTTCTAAGAGCAATTCTAATAGATCAGCTGACAAGGAAAAACAAATTTAAGGAGACATGATCCTGATAATTGCATGCAAAATTAAAAAAAAAAAAATAGTACAATATAAATTATTCAACAACAAACGGGAAAGAACACAACAACCAATAAACAGACTTCATATTCACATAAACAGACAAAAAAAAATCAATCTCTGAATTGCAGTTTCATTCAATTGTGTCATTAGCCAAAAATTACTAATCTAAACCAATTCAAAAGTGAGTTCCTCCAACTTACAGAATTCAAATAAAACAAAATAAACCCGAGCAAATCGGAATTAAATGCAAAGGATTCAAAGCCCCCATTCTGGTTCCTCCTCCCTTTCTAATGCGCTCTTACCAACAATCCAACTATAAAAACTTTAAAATAGGAAACACCTCCAGATGAAATATCAACAATCCACGGAAATCAAGAGAACGCAGTGCGAAACAGCCAACCCGACATTCGGAAATAAAGGAAAATAAATCCAAGAATAAGATACAAAAATTACATTCCTCGTCATCTACGCAATCAAAGAAAGGTTTCCGCGCCGAAAAATATCGCAGACAACGGATACGAAAAGATAATAATAGCTGTAAAGATCTGAGTAAACAAAAGTGCGAAAATCGCAGAGGGATCCTGAAATCTAACCTAGAAGAACTCTTCAGGAGTCAATAGCAATACAAAATTGAATTGAACATCAATGCACACTCTTCCTTATGCCGCCGGCACCGAGATCTGCCGCTCCTACTCCGAATGTGAAAGCCCGGCCAAGCACGAAGAACATGGCGACAAAGCTGAGAATTACGGGAAATCACTTGAGAACTACACCAGCGACATATTCGAAGAAAGTGGGGTATTTACTTACGTACCTCACACTTCTAATATTTTTAGAGATCTAACTCCTAAACTTTAATATTTACTGTATAACATACATCTGTCAGCACCAAGGAGAAAATTCAATGAGCTAAAATAACGAGGGCCCAACAAAGAAAGACCAAAAGTCCCATCGCCGAAAGATCAATGAACTTGATTTACCAAATGCATATCACCTGGATCGGGACTCAAAGCTGACCAGACACAGGTCATTCGAACCAAAGAACAAGATATATTGAGTCGAGAGATGACATTAGTTCAACTTTTACCCTAGCACCGCTAAGTATATGATAAGTGTCTTCAATATTCTTCATTAAGAGGTTGAGAGTTTGCCACAACATGCTCCATTAAGACTCAAAATGATCCTTTTGTCAATGAGTGAACTATCTATTGGATTATGGTAATTCACTCTCTCCCCGAAAGTATGAAAGTTCATCATCTAGGAGTCGATAGTCAACAATAAGATTAAAGGAATCAACCAAGAGAATAAAGTCGGTTGATTCAAATCCAGCATAATCCAAGATCATCGAGAGCCAACGACATCCCTAACTCAACATAGTTAGACAAACAAACCTTGTCGAACCAAGACCTGCTGATCTTAGCCGACCTAGCAATATGGCAACTAAGCCATTGACTCATTCGTAAAAATACCAAAAAAATCATGTAACCATGGGCAAACATGTGATTATGAATATTGTACCCTCTCTCTGCAAATAGGGAATCATTTCTCTAGTAAAGACTAATCAAATATTTGTTCTACCATTCATTATTGTGTTATATTTTTTTTCTCTCTCCTATCTCATCATCTATCTATTTTTTTGGGTGTGACTCAAGAACATATTCAACATTTACACATATAACCCTCAAATTTCTTACATTACATAAAAAACATCACTATTATTAACTTTTTAAAAATGGATTACACAATTTCATGCAAATTTTAACACTAAGAAATTGCAAATGCTGATATCAAACCTTAGGGTGTTAGATATATAAATATATAACAATTGTGGCATTTATGTAAATTTCCCTTAAAAGGAATATTTGTTTTTTGAATATATTATTTCATTCCTTCATTTTTTATAATTGAACGTTTATACTTTAATAATTTATTTTTAATAAAAAGCTAGCAAATTTCGCATGTCCATATATTTGTAGTCATGTCGATATCCACAATATCATGCACTTCAACAATAACGAATATGATAAAAGAATTAATTTAAACTCACAAAAAAAATAAAAAATATGTAGATTTACATAAATAGCACCAAATTTTTATGAATTTATGTATCTATCATCTAGAAATCAATTTTTACATATATGCCACCTTTCCCATGCATGTAAAGGTGTGATATGAAACAGTTGAGTGGTATAAATGTAAAAAGTATAACAGATAAAATAGTGTATTTTTTTTTTAAATAATATGAATTTTTTGTGTGGTATAAATGTAAAAATAAATAAACTTCAGGTGTTAGATATTGTTTCTGCTCAACCACCAAGTTTTTTTGGTTGAGGAATCATCGCAATTTAATTTTTACATTTATATCCTTCCAAATCTTTCATATCACATAAAAATCTCTTTTATATTAATTTTTAAAAAGGGAAAATAAAAAATGAATATATAATACATAGGAATTAACTGGTATATATGTAAATCTATCTTTCTTCTTATAATAGTTTATTGTGTGGCTATGTTTGAGGCGTGTTTCCTATAATGATTGTTATTGGAGAGTATTATTATTAGTGATGTTCTATTAGGGTGCAACTGGTCGACACTTTCAAGTATTTACAAAGTTACCTTGATTTATTATGTTGCCTAGTAGTGAGTTTTTTCAATTTCTTAATTTCTATTGAAAACTTGTCACCATAAAATTTACATGTAAAAAATATATTCATTTTAATAATTATTTGTTCTCATGTAAAAAAGATTTCATTTTAGAGGCTCTGTTGAAAAAAAATTTGGCAGAGTCTTATCAAGCTTAGTTTATTGATTTTAGCAAATGAGATTTTAATTGAATAAATTTAGGCTTCGTTTGGGGGCAAAGGAGAGTCGTCGCACTGTACTTTCAAGTATTTGACGGAACTGTATTTTGTGTATTTTTCAAAAAGTTGTGATAGCAAAATAAGTTTTGAAATTTGAACCGACTAAGGGCCTGTTTGGGACAGCTGCAACTTCTCAGCTTTTCAGTTGTGGCTACTAAAATATTACCTATTTGATGAGCTAATAAACTCTTTCAGCACTAGATATAGCAACAACCTTGGAGTTTTGGCTAAACTATGACATAAGCTGAATCATGTTGATAGTTGAAAGGGGCATTTACATACACACCAACTAAATCCTATGTATTTATATATCTAAACACCTAAACTTTACCTTTTATATTTATACCGTTCAAATCCTTTAAATCATAATGGGTGATATGAATGTATAAATATAATTTTAGGTGTGTGTTATGTAAATGCAGATGAATTGTGTGATATGTATGTAAATTAACAAATAAGAACATGCAATACATAGCCTAAGTGTGGTGGTTGCGAGAAAATATTGATCTGATTTTTTAATAATAAAGTAAATTTGTAATAGCTCTATAGCATTTTGAACATCAATTTTTTCTGCAACAACTTTGACAGGTGAAACTGCATGTTCAAACAATTACAGTTGCTCCAAACAGACCCTTAATAAATGAGATTTATCTTATGCAACCTACATCTTTTCAAGTTTATTATTTCTTTAATATTGTGCCTTAATCGAAGTTTATATAGAGCAATAATTAAGTCTCTTAATGAGCTTTAAATTAATTAAGCAATAAGCTCTTCAGGGTATTTAACCTCATTTAATTGGCTAATCAAACAAGTATTATAAACGAGCTCTAATATAGCTAGTCAAGCGTAATTTGTTAAATGTTTTATTCATTCGCAGCCCTAATTAGACGATAGAAAAAAATATTTTTCCTCATAAATTTATCATATTTATAAATAAAGAAGGTGCTGCAAGCCGACGGCTGAGATCATCCCTCGCAACCCCGCAAGAAGGGGGTGTTTTGATAAGTTGGCCCATAGGATTGATCATGTGGGTCCCACGGCTTGGACGGCTGATGATGAGACGTGCCATCCTCTTTTTCAGCTGCAATAGATGTTGCCTTTCTTCGCATGTTGCCCTAAAGAATTCCTATATGTTCTTCTTGCTGTGGACTCCACTTTGCTTTTAAGCAAATAATTATTAAACTCTTCAATTTTCTTTTAGAATGCAGGGTCTCGTATCGTCCGTGAATTTATATAACACAGAAAGATCGTATTTTAGATGGAAAGTGTGAAAGAAGATGGTGATTGTGCTGTCGGAGTCCGTATTTTTGCTTTCTTTCCCAATCTAGAGAAAAGAGATAATGGTTTGGAGGAAGGGTTTTTGGTTTAGTACCCCACTGATTCATCTTTTCTCACTGCATAAGAAAAATATAAATAAAAATAAAAATAAAATTACATCCCGTAAAGTATTATGTTCTCCATGGTATATTGATGAATAGATGATAACACGGATGTCACGTGACATCATAAATAAGGATGAACATATGTACTCTCATGTAATGATGATCTTCTACAACAACTAGTTAGTCCAGGGCTAGTTAGACCATTTTGGCATGTGGGCTTAGTTCAACACTTTAATAAGTGGGCTATGTTCAAGAATCCATGTAGAAAGCTTGCTTGAGTTCATGATTGTATTTGAGTATAGATGAGCCCTTCCTCAGTTCAACATTTCAATAGATAGGCCTCTCTAACAAACGACAATTCCAACATAGGCGCGCCACCTCCCAACGAACGACAAGCATCCCCGCACCCCCCCCACCTCTCCCCAAAGTGCAACAACTTCCTTCTCTAGTCGGTCAACGCCCTTCAAAACTTCAGTAATTCTTTTGTCACTATCCCCTTGAGGATAGCCCATAAAGCGAAGGAAACACTCCTCCATGTCAGCAAGACGACCCACTATGAAGTCGGAGGACACCCTGCGCCCCCCGTTAGTTTCCTCTTCCCTCGCAACGCCGAAAAAAACTTAGCAACCCACACTCTCGCCCCGTCGAGGGAAAAGTTTCCCTCCATCCTACGCTACTCAACACACATCTTCTCAGCGCCCTGCTCCTCAGCAACTCTGCTCGACCCCCTGCTCCATAACACTTTACCCCGTAGCGCCCCGTTCCACAATGTCCACTCCCTCCGGGGTGACTTCATCAACAAAGGTCACATCATTTATGGGACCGACATCAGTATCTATCGATACAGAATCAATATTCAAGACTTCAGTAACGGCACTAGGGAAAGAGACACACATAACAAATTAAACTACATACCCAAAATTCGCCCCCATTTGGGTATGGTGTAAGAAAAAAACATCATTACCAACTTTCCTTAGCCCCTCACCTCGGAGGAAAAGCCGCTCTTTATCGGTTGAAACCATGTCTCAGCTTTGACCAACGACCCCTCAAGGCGTTCTTATGGAACCACAACCCCTATGACAACCTGAAGAAACATTCTTTCTCCTCCCGACATGAACATTTACCTTCAACGGGTGCCCCGTAAGGCGAACGTTAGAACAACTTCCAGCCTACTCTGCAGCTCCTACGACGAGCTCGTAAGGAAACTCGAAGACCCGACTCGCTCCTGACACTCTTCGGTTCCTGGTTTCAACACAACCCTCTTCTTGCTTGCTTCCCCTACAGAGACATCACTCGTCGGCTTTCGCTTCGCGTCTGGTTTGCGGGTCTTAATCCGCATGTCACTTGGGAAGGGCGTCCCTGTCAAGAGACTGTTCTCCTCCGCTAGACATAGTAGCAGATAAGGAGAGGAAAAGAAGGAAAATTGAAGGAAAAAGAAGGAGAGGAGAAGGCACAAACTTTCCATATCCCATGACTTATTTATAGTGGTATGGGCACCTAAATCTAGAGGAATTCATTATTGTGCAAGAATGTTATTCAATTATTTCTTTTAACTATTGACGGATTATTCTTGCAAATGAGGTGTTTAGATCGATTGATTGAAAGGATGTGTCAGAAGATTTCCCACTGGAAGACGATCGACCTTAAAACTGATCGACATATTGTTAAATTTCGAGTCAAATATCGATAGAGTTAAGGCAAGACGAACGAGCGACGAACCCCTCATAAACCGACATCAATTCGTCTATCTTAGTATAACCAAATATCATTGTAATTACTAAAAAGCCCCTCTGAAAGTTGATGATAAGAGGATCAATCTCTAACTTTACAAGATTGAGGTCTATCTCTATAAATATGAGACTTATACCTTGAATAAATGTTACACATTTATGTGTTTCTTAACTAAACTTTCTTTCTTGATTCTCTCTACATAAAGTTCTATGTCTTGGGTATGTTTCCCGAACACATTTTTGGTTCGTTTGATATTCAAGTAAAATCTATGTCAAGAAGGAATGGGTCGAGTATGACTCGATTAGGACTTGTGAACCCAATTTGACACATTTATTTATATCTATGAGTTTTTAATCTTCGAGACTTCGCTCGTATATGTTGATGGCGATATATATCTTCTGAAATGGATATTAATGGAGAATATAGTGGCACTGGTTTGCATATTGTTGTAGTTAGTTTTGGAGCTTTTTTGCCCTTAGGTCTAGTGCATGGGGGTTGGTTTAGTGAAAAAGTAATACTTTTTTTAATGATATTGACTTATTTTGAGACATAGAGTCCCGTATAGTTCGCGGACTCATATAATCCGAAATAGATCTTATTTTGAGAGGAGTACTAAATAAGGAGAGAATGGGTTGGAAGTCCCTTCCCCAAGGCTCAATTCTTAGCCTTTGGCGAGAGACATAACCTATATCCATGTTCCTCGTGATCCTTCATCTTTGTCCCCCAACCAGTGGAGAAAAAGAAACAAAAAAATATAAACCGTACAATAAAATGCACACCCATAATTTCCTAGCGAGAAGATAGAGCCATGAATGTCAAGCGACTCTTAAATAGACACAGACATACGTTTGTCCTTGAGTTATGTCTTTCATATTTACGATTTGTGGAGAGCTCGACAATCACATCAATAAGTGAGCTCGGCGAGCCACTCTGGTAAGTAAACTCAGAAGGCAAAAATAGCCGAGCTTTTTACAAAAAAAAAAAAAAAAAAAATTGGGCCTTCTAACCCACAAAATCAATCGTATGCTTCGTCACATATAAATGTACAGATGCAAATCGCTTCAATTTTTTTTATCAGAGCTTTAGCTCAAAAATCTAATAATTTGATTTTTTTTTAGTCTTGATAATGTTTTAAGAGTAGGTGTGCTAGAGATTATTTCAGTTGGGCCCTTCATCCTTTTATTATTATTATTATTATTATTATTATTTAATAAAACATGAATCGTCTTACCTGTTGCTATGGTGCAGATGAACGTCCTAATATTAAGGTAGGTTCTCTTTTGCTCTGTTTTACCAAGTATTAGTGTGGGTATGCATGTAAATATGAATATTTAGGTGCTAGGTTTGCAATCATAAGAATTATAAATGCCCCTACTTTCTTTTCTTCTTAGCTTATCATTTTTGATAAATTATAACCCTTTTTTTGTATATTTTATTATTAACAAAAATTTATAATCTATAAATTAAAAAAAACATATAAGAAATAAAATTTTATAAATTATATAGGCAGCTTATCATATATATATTTTCTCACTATGCCTTCACATATATAAGATATTCTGCTTCTCCAGCCAAGTTCAAACTCATATTTCTTTCATGTCATATCATTACTACAACCATTGTAAGTACTAAAAAGTGAAATACACCTTTCATGCGTGAGCAGGGTTATATATGTAAAAATTGAAGTCTAGGTGTTAGATATGTAAAACATAGGAAATAAATGGCATGCATGTAAAACCTCAAAAAAAAAAAAAAGCGCTCTTGAGCCCTGTGTGCAGAAGCCATCGTCAGTCCTCTCACCTTGCTAAAGTAAAATGCAGTTGGCATATTGTCTACTCTAAACAATTTTAATAACTACATATTTAAATATTTACTTATGTGAATATTTTTTGAAGTGTGTTCGCTCACAAACTCATGAGTTAAATTGAAACCGGGCCAAGTTTAGCTCGTTAAGTTTATCGGGCTTGATTCGAGTCATTTATCGAGTTAAGTCTGAGTTGACTCACTGAGAGGCTAACTCTCATAATTCACCGATTGACATGTAGTAGTGAAACTTGAGATTAGAGAATAGCTCTTGCCACCTTAGATTTAAGGAAAACACTATATATAGCCATACAGGAACACCAGAAAATTAAAGATAATTTTTTGGCAAATTTACATACATACCACACAATTCTTATGTATTTACATATCTAAATTAAAATTTCATATTTACACTCCTCAAACAGTGGTGTCATAAACTCATTCATGTGAATATGTATTTCACTTTTTTAAAGTAAATAATAGTGATATTTTTTATGTAATCTTAAAGATTTTAGCATTTTGCATGTATGAAAATATAAATTTGAAAGGAATGGTGGTAATAGAAGTTGGGGGATGGATCCAAGAGATCTGCCTCATGGCTTTTCGGAGGCTTATTCTCTTTTTCAATTTCTTAGAGTGATTTAAATTCTTCCTCCTTCCCAGTAACTTCATCATCTACATCAATCATAATACATCTGTGCTTGAAAAATAAAAATTAGGGATAATTTGGGGATTGGTTTAGCACATATGATTTGAGTTTCTATACTTAAACAATGGTTGGGTGGTGCAGAGTAAAATTGTAAGCGCATATAATTTTATGGTTTTTGAATCTAGTTTTTCATCATTCAACAGCTTGTATGTGTTTTTGTACATAATGCTTTAGGCAAGAGTTTCTTATCACTATAAGTTACTATGTTTTAGACTGCATTGATTCTGATACCATCTAACATTTGGTTTACTGCCTTCTGATTACGCGAGGTGGCGCTCGTGGGAGATGGCAATATCATCTAATATTGGGTTTACTGCTTTCTGATTACGCGAGATGGCGCTCATGGGAGATGGCGAGTGGTGTTCATGGGAGATGGCGAGTGGTGCTCACGGGAGACAGCGAGCATACGACACAACCAGAATTTGGGATGTCGAGCAAAAACAAAGAAAGAAGACTTAACAAAGGAGCGTTATTTCTATGGGTTTTAGGGAATTTTGCATGTTGCATATGTAAATATGAACTTTCAGGTGCAGCATAAGTACATACCAACTATTAAGTTCTATGCATGCAAAAACCCCTCATTCTTATTAATTATATTTAACTAACGTTTTGGCACGCTCAAAAGTGGAAAAATTATAATGTGCGGAGTCTGTATTCATGCAGATTCCGTGTACAATGTCTAAATGCATACGAACTCCGTACGTAACATCTCTCTCAAAAGTGACAATTATTATATGTGCGAGTGTGTGTGTCAACATATTACACAAAATGAGTGAATATTGGTCCAATCAGTTGGGAAAGTCAAATACATACCACACAATTCATACTTATTTTACATATTTAAAACATAAAGTTTGCTATTTTCATTTATAGCACCTTGGTGTCATAAATACATGCATTAAAAAGTGTATTTTACTTTTAAGAAGATAATGATAGTGTTAACTTTTATGTGATATTAAAGATGCGAGTGGAATGCATGTAATTATGAATGTTTATGTGCTATGTATGTAAATACATAAGGAATGTGTAGCTTTTAATGATATTTTCTCATTGCAAGCAACTAAATTAGCCCACAATTTTTATCAATCACCCCATTATCGCATCTGTTTAAGAACAATTTATGCCAATGAAAATCGTCCTTTATACATATTACAACATTTTAACATTACATAATCCTGCTTAACATGTAAGTAATTACACAATCACACTAAATTTATCCAAAGAGAGAGAGAGAAAGAGAGCGAGGGAGAGAGAGGGAAACACACAACTTCTACCCTGAAGCAAGAAAATCAAGCGATAATTTTGGCCTGTATATGTTTTCCTTAAGATTCAGTACTAAATGCAAACTTGAGAAGTTTAATCAAAAGCTCCCAACCCATCTCCTAAAACATAAACACACAGAACAAACCCCATAAACCAATACAATCAAATCATGACGGAAAGGGACAACTCTTCTCTTTTATCTTTCCACCGTTTTAAAATTCAAGAAATGATGAAAATTTCAATGCAGAAAAAACATACCAGACGCTCAGATCTTATCCACTTTATCCGCCTTCACGACAGGATTCGCCTTCGCAATCGCGTCCTGCCCAGCTCCCTTGTAATCAAACACGCAATTGTGCTTCTCGGAGTACAGATGAACAGAACAAAACACATCTCCGCAGCGGCACTTAAATCCCATCAGGCCCACCTTTTTGTTGCAGGAACCGCACCGATTGGCCGGCTTCTTTCCCGACATATTAACAGTCTCCACCACATCACGATCCTCGACCTCCGCCTCAGCGACAGCTGGCGCAATGATCGTTTCAATCGAGGTCTTCGACTTGCTAAGAAACGCTTCGCGATAGCACTTTGAGCAGAGATTGCTCGTAGTTGAGCATCCGAAGAAGCCACAGTTATTGGCGCAGAAGATAGGAGAGTTAGCTGAGTGGAACTCTCTCTCCTTCCCCTCTCGCTTCTTGCTCTCTTGCTCCATTTCAGTCCACAGATTAATCACTCCTCGGATTCAAACCCTAATCGATCGCAGTAAGCAGAGAAGCCAACCATAACGTGATTGATCGGGGCGATCGATCGATATGCGTCGAATCCCAGCAAAGATCGATCTATACCTTTGGTGGTGAGAAGGCTCCCTTTATCGGCATTTTTTTTTTTTTTTTGAGGGGAAGAAAATTGAATGGACGGTCAGTGATCGGAACTGTTGGGTTCCATGGGCGACGGAGAGCCGTCGGATGATGACGACTCCTTACGGTACCTTCTGGGGATTCCGGGCACAGGGTAGCTGCCCGGGGTATTAGATGTAGGGTCAGTAGAAGTGGATGGTGAGGGAAAATCAGGGGGTGGGAGGGACGTGAGAGTAGATCCGCCGTACATCAGTCATGGACGGTGGCATTGGACGGTGAGATCGATGTTCGAGTGGTCGCCACCTTTTTTTATAACTCACGATATTTATGGCGTTTGATATTTATGAAATTTTAATTTATATGTTATTGTCAAATTGGCATGATAATGAGGATCATACATATATACATATATATATATATATATATA